ATTTCGAAACACAATTGTGGGATTATATGTAAAAAAACCGACTCCAAACGGATTAAACAAAATAACGTAAACAATATTTGACTTTCAGAAACATGTTTTGTAAACGGATGCGGATTCTGAGTATTTCATGTTTTTAGTTTTGTTGTTTTATCTATAAAAATGGCACTTTACTAAAAGAGACAAACTCGAAAACGTTTTGTCTACACTAGAAGGCAGCTTTTCTCGAGTGCACCCACACGCCCACATAACTCACTCTCGACCGAAAAGTGACATTGGGTAGACAAAACCTCTCTCGTGTGTGTTACTACAGCCAGAGAGATATAGACAGAATATTTGATGAAAAATTCTTTAAAGGCACTGAGCTCCCCAGGGTTTAACAGGATGATTAATTTTTTAAGCACTTCTTACTTTTTAGCTACTACAGGGCGTATTTCATCAATGCTCAGGCAACCCACCTAAACAGCCGAAAGTAATATTTTTTTAAATATTTAAACCTTCTATAAAGATGAAAATTTGTTCTAAAACTTATATTTGATCAATTTGGCATTCATATTTCTATAGCGAAAAATATTCTTAATGATTTTTTTTTTAAGCATTTATCATTAAGAATATTTTTCAGTGTAGCATTATAAATACAAAATTGATCACATATATTAAATACAGAGAGTTCATTAACCGAAATAGTTATACAGTAGATGCTTTCTTTCACAGATGTTGTATTTATGTTGCAGCTGCAACAACAAAGACTAAAAACAAAATAATATTTAATAACAAACGTGATTTCTTTTTATGGAACCCTCGTGCGCGATCTACTACTCGCTCTTACCCGTTTTTCGTTTCTATGCAGTGTTCTGTAATACGCAGCTGTCCTCATCCGGTTATGGCTGTACAGAAGTTTAGATAGAGGCCAAGGTTAAGCCTCGTTTCAAAGTATATGTGATGATAAGATTTGATGAAACGGTATACAGCCTTTGTCTCTAAGCGTATAAAATAGTAACATAAAAGGCAAATGAAACCTCTTTCCTCAGGCGGAAATGAGGAGCAGATGCGTTCAGACTTTTTCTTCCAATCAGTATTCATTTATATTTTCATAGCCATTGTTCTTAAGCTGCCTACATGGATTTTGGACTGCCACATTACTTTTAACTCTGGCTGTATTTATAAGTCAGTGCAAATCTAACGGAATGCATTATTATTATAAATTGTCTGATTGATTGATCATCTAGTGTTGAATGTCAAATGCTTAGGTTGTAGCTACAAATATGGTACGTATAAAGTAAGCAATAAGAGCTAATACACCATACATTTGCCTTTATAATCACTATATTACCTGTTTTCCTAAGCAAGGAGGATTTTACGTTTTATGGCCGCCCATCAAACAATAGGAAAGATAGCTGGGTAAAAAAAAAAAACAAAATTCTATTTAGTCCGTCAGTTAGATAATACAATAATATAAGATACATAATTTATTTGCTTCAATATAACAATAATTGGCTTAGATAATAGGTATCAAAGTTGAGGAGTGCGGGCTCTCTACGTCATAGTTTGTAAAAAATATACAAAATTGTCACATAATGCTACATTTCTACTCAAAGTATCGCAGTTATTTATATAAAAAAATGCATTTAATATTATTCAATTAAATTAGTCGTCATTCGTATTTTTGCGATTGTTGCGTTAAAGGAAAATTAAGCACTACGCTATCAAGGCTGGTAATATTGTTTTAAAAATAAGTATACCATAGTCCTTGATCATGTATTGGAATACCCACATACGTATACATGTGTCATATAATATCACGAGCAACATACAAGAGTACGATTAGATAAATCACGCGATTTATCACCTATGTAACTGCTACAGCCACAAATGGCTAATTGTCATGTAACCACTTCTCTGTTTTTATTTCGTGCTAGTTTCATATTAACCAAGAAAAATGTTTCAATTCTATAATAAGTATCTAATATCTAATTTTTTTTTTTAATTGAGATCGGTAATAATAAGTGTACAACCTCTACAATAATTAAAAATAACTTTAAAGATTCTAATCAAAGGCAGTAAACATCTGCTCGTAAACCAATACCCAGGGATTTATTTGTGAAGAACCAAAAAAAAACTCTAAAATAAAATGCATGATTCTCAATTACAGAATCATGACAGGTTCTCAATTACACTGAAAGTTTTGTTTTTATTTTCGTATTTAAATTTTAATTTAAATCAGTATAAAACAAACTTCAAACTGCCATGAAAACAAAGAAGTTCAATAAACTTCATTTGAAATGCCCTACTTCAATGTTTAAGCTGAGAAGCATGGCTACCAATCTGCTCCCGAATTCAAATAAAGTTTATTGAATTTCGTTTACTGTTTTTGAAGTAAAAAGATATATACATTTAAAACTTACCAAGAATTCCCTGATTTCTAAAAATTTTAATTTATCATGTAACTAACATTCCGCCAGTGGCTTCGCCCACCTGATGACTGTGAACTCCAAATTCATGTTTATAACAAGCAATAATCGTATAACAAGCTTACAGATCTATAAAAACTATATTTTAACAATGAAATATTGTATTTATTATTTCTGACTTTATAATGTTACCTCGTAACATGTCATGGTTAACTAAATCTTAACAGTTTTCATAGTCAAGTGCCGCATAATCCAACAGTTACATTACGGTAGTTACGTAACTGTAAACCTCATTGTGCCAGACTTGACACACACGAAACCCCAGACTAGCACTCACACAATCCATCCACCATAATACCTAACATTGCTGTTAGATTCGCAAAATCTTAATAAGTTCTTGATACAATAACCTTCTTACCCGGGTAATTTATTTTAACACTCTATGGAATCAAATTTTACGTTTTCTCACAAAACCTTTCATGACGTTTTACTCCACACCATTTTTGCACTTTTAATTTGACCACAACGTGTTGCTATGTTGAATCTAGTTTTGTACCAAAATTCATCAGATTAATAGTGAATTATAGTGAGTAGCTCGGTGGCGTATTGGATAAGCGCTGCGGCCTGCGATATGACTTCCGCAAGGGTCGGTCACGGGATGAGTGACAAAAAATTATAATCTCGAGCTACTACGTGGTCAGGAAGGCACTTTTAGCTGTTGATCCCGGCTGCATTTGCAGTCGTTAATACCCTCCATTCATAAGGAAGGCCCGAGATCGTGCAGTGGATACGTAAAAGTACTAATGATGAGATTATAATAATAGTGAAGTAAAATAAAATTTCTCTTCGACCCTTGAAACAAACATAACTAACACTGAAACATTTCATTCAATTTAGTAGAAAAGTTATTTTTTCTAAATCAATCTACAGCAAATAAATGCTCGAACTGTATTCTAGAATTATATTCATAAAATCTTCTCGTTAATTAAAAATAATGACAATATTCTGAACCTTACATATTCAATTCAATCCTATGTGATGATACTGCTAATAATATCTTTTCCGTTCGGACCGATTCATCTTATTGAGGTCAATCCGGAAGGCTCATTCTCACTTGCACCAGTCGAGAGCTTAGACCGCTATTCGCTATCCCACTCGGTTGCGCGTGAGTTTTCACTTTCGCGGGCCGTTGCCCCTTTGTACAGCCTCGGCATACTTCGGGGTACGGTGTCAAGGTCATTCGACTCTGGAATCTCGTGCAAGTGGAACACCACTTTTCGGTCAGGGAAGAGAATTGTCTTATTCGATTAAATATTTCCATTTTAAAAAGAACGCTAATAAACTCTAATTTATAAAGATATTAATCTCATCACGTTAAAGTAAAAATGAATTATTTGAGTCACTTTTTAGCTAAGGCCTCTGTTTGTCGACAAAGAAATTTTCCGTAAACGTTCTTACAATATCATTTAAATCATATACCAGCAGACCCCTAACGTTGAACGATTTTATAATGAATCAGAATAATTTTTGAGATAATTACCTATTTACTCTAAAAAGTTTTAATTAATAGGTACTCTTCTTCCTTCCTATTTCCTCTTTCTATCACATTATCAAGCAACAATATTTTGTCTCGATATATCTTCACTTTTCTGCTCACACCTCTTCAAATTCTAAACAAGGGGCTCCTAAGGGGACCGTACATATAACTTCACTATTCTATCGCGGGCGTAACATTATACAGTACCTACCAACATCTAACAATGCGATTATCGTTTTCTTTAGGTTAGCGCTGCATTGAAGGTTATTAAGTCAGCACATAAAGAAATCAACTTTAAATCTGGAGCATTTAAAGTCGATTTTCAAAGATAAGAACGGATTGGTCAAGACATTCATCTAATTAATTAAAACTAGTACATGTGCTAATAGGCAAATCTACAAGTGAACATATGTTCGAAAACATTTTAGTAAATGTATGTAGGTATATAATGTCACTGCAGAGGTACAAGCCATAACTAAGGATGGAATCAAATAGAGAGAACGGCCATAAACCCACCATATGGGCCCAGTAATGGATATTAATGACTCTCAATAAAGGCATTCCGAAGCAATGAGCAAATTTTTGGAATTATATTTGACGCTAGTTTGGGCAAATATTATTAAGGTCTAACGATGTAATAACGTTTTTTATTTATAAAGTGATAAAAATTGCTTATCATCTGTAAATAAAACAGACGACACAGTAGATTTATATTATTATGACTAAACAGTAATTCCGATGGTAGTGATAAGGAACCAGTTAAGGGATCATCGACCTGAGATAAGAGCTCCCTTATCATCTAATGGTCACTTACTATTGTTGCACTTGGCAAAGAAATTAGCAATGGCATGATAGACGTATATTTGGATGGTCTAGTAATGTTCACCAATTATTTGTTATGTGTCAATGGTGGTTTAATAGCAAGTATGATTTATGATTAGTAAACAAGGCATTTTAATTTAAAGCAAACATTGCATCTAGAATAATCGACCTATTGTTATTTACGCTTCCGATTGCAGGACAATACATAAAGATCGCCTCTTTCTGTCTTGCAGATAGTGACAATGCAAGAGCAGGACGGAGATGGCGAGCCGGCGCACCACGCGCGTCGCCCTATGAACGCTTTCCTCATATTCTGCAAACGTCACCGGAGCGTCGTCCGCGACAAATATCCAAATCTAGAGAATAGGTATGTCATTGTAGGTTAATGGACTATTTGACCTAAACGATCAATCGCTTGTCAATTAGCACACACGTTTTTAAAGCAAGAAATAAATGTAGTTTTAGAATACTTGTTAAAAATACATAGAATTGGTTATAATCTATTTACAATATGGGTAATATTAAAAGAAGCATTTATACCGAATATTTTGAATGATGTTGGTGCAACTTTTGTTTCATATATTGAATATGAATTTATTTAACTTTCAGGTCAATAACAAAAATTCTAGGAGAATGGTGGGCTAACTTGGACAAAGAAGAGAAAGCTTGCTATACAGGTCTTGCTAAACAGGTAATATTTTAATAGTATTTTATGTCAAAACACGTTCATTGATGTTGATTCGTTTCTAATATATATATATATATATTTTATTTTTAGTACAAAGACGCCTTCTTCAGTGCCAACCCTGACTTCAAGTGGTACAAGTTACCGGCTCCACCTTTACGAACACTGTCGTCTCGGCCTAGAGAGATAAATGAAAAACAAAATGAATCCCCCAGCACTGAAGTAAATGAATCTGAGCTAGAAAGGATCAATAATAATTCCACTAAAGTAGACTTAAACAAAAATACAAATGAAGACCATATCTATGAAAATGAAACAAAGCAACTATCTATGTTTACTCCTGGAAAACTCGCTGATGAAGCCCAAATGGGAGGATTAAGCAGCCTCCTCGCCACAAAGACTGAAACTCGTACTCCAAATCCTTTTTATTCACCTCCATCAAATAAATTTAACTCGATCTCAACCCCAAACGAATTCAGATCTCACCATATCGCAGAACAACCTAATGTCTCAAGGGAACAGAGCATACTTGAACTACAAAATGCTCTTAACGAGACCACAAGAATCTTCGAGGAGGACTTCGAAGAAAAAAAGGGAATTTATCATCAGTATCATAGCATACCGAATGATCGATTCACCAATCAAGATGTGATAGACCAAATTGTCGATAAGAGATACTCTAAGGATGAAGAGTATGGTTATCAAAGAAATTGGTCAGATGACGAGAAAAATTCCAGATCTGGGAGGTCGTGCAAAGGGAAACGTTACCAGGAGTTTATGGCCGTTGGGGGATTAATAGTAAATAAAAGGCAAAGACGAGAAAATTCTGACAAAATGCCAGATGAAAGCCACAGTCCATCGTGTAGTTGGGAAACTGGCAACTCCGTGAAGAGTGAAGAATCAACCATTACCGATGAAACAAAACTAGACACTTCTTTTAACGAGAGTCCAATCGAAACCGAATACAAGAACGACATCACGGATGCACCCGAAGCAGACAATAATTCAAACAAAACATTCAAGGCTGCTGACTTCGATTTAGATGCTAAAATTAGAGCTTTGCCTTCACTTAGTTTAGAGAAATTCCAGCAAAAGAAACGCGAGAATAAGCGCAAGAAAAAAACGGTGAACCTTAAGCCGAAACTGATCGAGTCCCCGCAAATAGTCAACTCAGTTCCTAGATCAATTTATGACATACGTCGTGAAATGGCTGAAAGTTGGCGGGAAACAGTTATCGGCAGTCAAAAGCGTAAACCGAGGAAAGTAAGTATAACTCGATTTGAATTGAAGAGTATATATTCTAGTGTTGATACCAGCGATTCGCAAAAGATTAGCCCCGAAATTAAAATTGCTACTGAAGCTCCTTGCACAGTGGTCCAAAATATGGAGATATGTAAACAACCGCAACACAGTAGCGTCGACTTGCTGGCACTTGCCACTCTAGCCGAGGTTGCGGCCAACAAATCTAAAATAGAAGGTTCATTTATTACGGAGACCATGACCGCCAAAGCAAGCGATGAAAACGCTTCCATGGTATAAAATACCAATAAAGCTAGCCTTAAAATTCCAAATATTATTTACTTTTTAATCAGATAATATTTATATATATTATTATAGATAGATCTACTTTTTACATGTACGCATAAAGAAATAATTTTATTGTACACCTAATGGTAGTTTTTATAACATAGAAATAGATTTTATTTATATCTAAATAGAGATATATGTATACTTTTATAGTTAAGTCGGTCGTAGGCTGCTGCATTCTGCTTTATTAGGATTAGAAAAGATATAATGGTGATAGTTACAATACATAACATCACAAAAAATAACAAAAAGGCATAATGTAATTAATATTTTAAGTATATCGAGTAAATTCTTACCATAATAAAGAGAAAGACGTTGATTTATATTAAAAAAAATCCTCATAACTCGCAACACGAATATGCCAAAACATGCCGTTATTTCGATTAGCGGAGTAACAAATCATAACCTCATTTTGTGTAAAGTTAGATATTTATGTCGCCTTTTATTATTAAATAATTAACACAAACACTAAAACACCACGTGCATAGACTGCATTGCATTTTAAAGTTTGATTATCATATTCATACTTTTAACTGAAAATGTTCTGCAAAACATAGTTTTGTATAATTATTTTACATAATGCATGTAGCAAAGACTTACGTATGTATAGCATGGCAACACTGTTAAAGAATTTGAAAATAGAGATGTACTAAATCCTGGTTAACAGTTACATTTATGTAAAGATTACCTTGTGATTTTTAATCGTTTCATTTTCAGTTACAATAGTTTAAAATAAAATGTACTATAAATGTAATAATTATTCTGGATAGCATTTTAAACGTTACCGTTTGAAAATAGGTTTACGGAAAATCAAAATTGGTGCCTTTATAAAATTTATTATTAGAATTTTGCAAAACTCTCTTCGTTTAATAATGTTGCTATACTACAAATATGTTTGAAAGTAAAATTGGAGTAACAAATACATAATTATTTTAGTCGCTAGTGTTTTAGTAAAAAAAAACGCCTATATTGTTTTTCGCTATACTTCAAAGCGGGTTAAACTCGCGTTTTGTTTCCCTTTGTGATAAAAAAAAAACAAATACTAAATAATAATAAACTAAATGTTTTGTTTTGATTTTTCGAATGTGTTGTTACATTATAAAAGTTTTTCATCTGTCATTAAATTCTGTACGTAACTATAGAAAATAAAAATAAAAATTCCTCATCAAATGTTCAGCGATGCAATTCTGTTATAATTCAACGATGAGCACATCGCTGTCACAGTAAAGAGGTTCAATCAAGTAAAACCTACATCAAAACTCAATTGAAGTTTTTTTTTTTAATATCTATGCTGTAATAGCTCTACGATCGTACGAGGAACTTATTTTATTACAGAACACCATAGCTGGTTTAGATTATATTAATGATCTTTATCCCTATTAGGTACCTGATATTTATCAGAGATATTCATGAATTTATAATGTTTTCAATAATACACCGTTGTCAACATTTTATTTAATTATATGGAGCAGTGTTTCTCAAATTTGTTGTTTTACATATTTATATGATAAAGTGTTTCTGTGATTTAATTCTTCTTCGTTGGGGGTTGACGGTGTGCTTTCGTTCCAGGTCTAGTCTAGTTAGTAGTGATTTATTAAATGATCAAGTACTAAATTTGAAAAGTGCACTTATATTTTTTAAAGTTACAAAAGATGACACAAGCCATAATGTGACATGCTCATCCAAAGACCAAATGTATCTAGAATAGAAATGCTAGATTGTAGATATTGTATATTTATTAAGTAATTATAGTATATATATACACATAGATTAATATGTATCACAATATATTTTAACAACTGGCTAATAGTTATGGCATTCCAAAGTGTCAAAATTTTTAAAATTATTATTTCATTATTTAGCATTATTTTTTGTTTGTTTTTTATTGTTCTCTCCAGAAAGAGCCTTTAAATTTCGTTGTTGATTTTGTGTAATATTTTATCGATTGTTACGTTTTAATTATGAGATGAGCTTAGGTGGTTCCTATATATTATACTGATGGATTAAAATATAAAATTTGCAATCAATAACAAAGGAATTTCAACAATTACCGGCGTTCTTATGAGATATATACATACATGTTTTTTGCCTTGTCGATAAAATAGCCTTACTTGTATTATAAATCAATTTTAGAGTTAAGGCAAATCGAAATGGGGCCAGTTTGTCGGGATATTGTCATTTGAAACAACGTATTTGTATGTGAATTGAAATGGATTCTATTAGATTTGAAATTCTCTGTTTAAAAATCTATAAAAACTGATATGTACGCAAACAAATATAATCCTGTAGAATCCATTTTTTTGTAATGGTGCTGGAAGATCTGTATTAAATTATTTAGGATGCAACCTTCATTGTAAAACATGTTCTAAGTAACAATGGATGGTTTGTTAAGTAGGTAGATAACAGAAAGAATTTTATCGATATTAATTTTAAGTCGCGTTAATCATTTTGTGCTGTGAAATGGTTTATGATAAGTAAAGATAAGAATAAAAAAGATGAATGATTTTTGGATGCAATTTATAGCGCAAAATGATGAAACTAAGTTAATTATGGGTATAGAAATATCACTGCGTCGTTTGAGAAACACTGGTCTAAAATGTAGATTATTTAAGTAATAAATAAGTCGGCACCCAAAGTGTTTACCTGTTTTGGTTCCAAAGTAAGCATATTGTTGAATGTTTTGTTACATACGAGCGCGGTTCAATATATATCCTTTTATTGTAGAATAATAAAGTTTATTATTAACAATGTTTTTATTTGTCAACAAACTTCAAACACGATACTAATATAATTATGATATAATAATAGGGATGACGACCGGGTAAAAGAAAAGAAATTATATTTAAACCGTCAGTCAGATAACTTCTTGTTTAAATTGCAGCAAAAAAAATACGCATCTAATATTTTTCTATTATTATAGAAAATTTTTGTGTTATTTTTTTTTTTGCTTCAATTTAAGCAAGAAATTGCTTAGATAATAAGCAATAAAGTTGAGGAATGGGGGCTCACAACGTCATAGTTCTGTAGCAAATAAACAAAAGCGTGATGTCATGCGACATTGTATCGCCCTAATTAATAAATAACGCAGAAAATAAGAAAATACGTGTTTCATATTCTTCAATAATCTATCTGACGGAAAGATAAAAAAAATGTTCACCATCCCTATTACAATCTTATACTTATGTAAATACGGCTGTACTTCAGATTACCACATTATGTTGATTTGTCTTGATCGATTTTGAATTCTATCCATAAGGTGCATTAAGGTTTAAAATGAAATTAAGATAATTTGACAAAAAGTTGACTAAAGTTGACTGTACCTACTTATAATTAATTAGACATAATCATATGTCAAAAAAAATACAAATATTGAAAGGAAATAACAAGAATAACATTGTATAAAAACTAATAGAAAAGATACGGTGGTACTTAGGCCAAGTTGTATGCACACTATTTCGCTTTAGTCAAGAATTGATTGGCTCACGTATGACAGGTGTTTAAAACAAAACATTTAGTGGTACAAATGATTAAACAAAATTATGTCCATACAATGGATAGGTAACTGAAAATCATTTTCACACTTTGAGCCAGTTGCACAAACGTTCATTAAAATTGTCATCAGTTTAAAGCGATATTACCCTAACAAATTTGACATTCGTTAGAGCTTAAAGGCGGCATTCAATCATAATGGACGTTTGTGCAACTGACCGTATCACTGGTACGATGGACATAAAAAAAATAGAAAATCTACTGCTTTGTGTAGGTAATATGCTATCTTGAAGGGAACAAGAATGTATGTGTATTGTCACAGCCAACTGGTTAAAACAGCCGTATAATTAGATGGCTAGCCGTTGAAACTACCACTTCAGCATTAGTTTCGCTTTGTTTAAAAAATGGCATCAATAGTGTCGGCATTAATGAGGACTAACGCGTTACAATTTACCACTAGAAGCGCTAGTGTAGTGAGGTCTTCAAAATGTCAAATGTCATACTTTACCGGTGAGCTTTTTTCTTTTCAAATTAACGTATTTTGATATTTTTTTTTGTGTTCGATATTTTTAATAAAATTGTTGATTTATGTATGATTTAAGATCAGTATTGTAGTAAACAAACTTTAACAGGACATCTTGCGACTATCGCGCCATCAGCAGAGCGATTCTGTAAAAATCCAAACTCGAATTCGAATTCACATAAAATGTGTAGAAATTCTATTGATTCTATTTTTGTATAAAAATACAAAAAAAAATATTGATTGATTGATACGTGTTATTACCAATTCAAGGTTGAGTTGATGCCGCTTTTTTAAGTTAATTTGGACACCTGAGTGAATTCGAATTCGGGTTCGGGTTTTTACAGACTCGCAGGGCTGGTAAGTGAAAAAACGGGAGCCTTCATTTGTTTCATACCTAATTATGTCGTATATTTTCTTTTAGTTGATTCTTAAATATCAAAGTAATTAATAAAGCACTCATTAATTGTATTTATAGTATTCTAATTTGTTTGCAGCTGACATGAACATCTTCTCAGTTGTATAAGGTCCATCTGTAAAAGTTAAAAATGAATAATTTATAAAGGAAGACATAATGAAACATGAGTAAAATAGCAGCCAAATAGCTTACTGCTTAGATATACTGGTAAAGACATAAAGTCCGTGCTTGAGTTGCTCGCATGCCACTGGCACAGTTATATTACTTTGAACAGTTGAATTAGTATATACCTAGATAGATATCTAGTTGTTGACAGCAGGGGTCGGAAACCGGTATATTTTTCGAAACGTTTTCATCTTAAATACCTAAAAAACACTTTGTTTCGGTTTCGTTCGAACAGAACGATATAAAAAACGGTTTTGGAAAAAAACAGAATTATATTGTTTTTGGTTAATAAAACGTTTTTAACCATTTATTTTGCGTTTTTTTTGCATCGCATACTGTAAATAACGTAATAAAATAAATGTACGCCGCCCTTACAGCCCGCGCGGCACCGTCTTGCGCATTGAAACGGTTTTTTAAAGCGTTCTCATTTCGTTTTCGTTTCGAACGCAATCTTGCCCAAAGAACCATAAGAAACGTTTTAAAAACGTTATTTTGAATAACGTTTCCGAGCCCTGGTTGACAGTACCGCTCGTGGCGCTGTGCCGGAACCATCAGATTCGTATATTACCCATACGAATCTGATGGTTCCTCTCTCTTAGTCCATCGTTTTGTCCAGTCTTATAAATAATAAAGATTTGATTGATTGTTTGTTTACATTAAATAAGCAGTGGCTACCCACTGGACCAATTTTAAAAACCCTTTCACCTACGCGAACTACATCTTACGCGAGTAATATAGGCTATAATTTACACGGCTGTAAATTATCGTAGCGGAATACAGCTTTTATAAAAGTAAGCTTAAATTCGCGGCATTGATATAACGTAAAAGTTCAGTCATATAAAACCTATTTTAAAAAGTAATAAATATTTCATTTCCTTGATTATGTACACAGCACTTAGAAGATTTTTGTTTAGGTATATTGATAAACTAGAACTTCTTACCAATGTTAAACCACTCTGTGGTAGGTATACCGGCGTCTTTACGGGCTGCTGACACTGCTTCTCTCATAGCGAAAGCCACACAAATAGCCAAGCATGTAGCGGGCTCACCAGTTACTGAAAATTTTTACATGATCCTTTATCATGGACTTAATTAATCCAATAAATAATAATAATCAGTACATATTCATTTAGGTGCTAATTACGAAACTGAGTACATAAAGGTTAGGTGTTTGCAATAAGTTTTAGGTAATTCTTAATTTCTGCTGATACTATATGTTTAAAATATTTAGCCTGAGATGCCAGAATTTATTTTAAATGCCAGGCCATAGTTAACACACTAGTAGATAAATACCTATAAAATATGTTTGAACTCTTGTAACAAACCCTTTCATTTATTAATTTTACCAAAAGACTGTCTAACAGACGCAAGTGATCATACGATGGTGCGTTATATATGTCATCTATGCTAGCCAAATTAACTTAGGTTTACTTATACCCGGTCTCTGAATGGAGTATTTACAGTGAAGCACGTCTCAAACTTTACTTAAACGTCACTTCAACAGGTTTTCGTGTCTGATTTTAGTTTTTTTTTTTTTTTGAATGATCAGTTGATAGCAGTTTGATAAAATTAGGAACTACCTTTGCCTTGTGAAAAGTAAAAATCTTAAGTGTTTGAGACTAATCAGTTGAGATTTTGTACCTTTTTCAATTCAGAAACCTGGCGTTACTCTGTAAGTGGCTGTAGTCATGATAGTAGTAATACTTAGTTTAAATATAATAATTGTATACCTTTGGCTCCTAAAACAATATCACCACTGTAAGAATTTTTCCTGAAATACACCCTAAAATCTTGTGGGATATCTCTTGCTTGTGGTACATAATAATCAAAGGCCCTGTCGGTGAGTAATTCTCCGGTATCTTTGTCATAAACGAGATTTTCACTTCTCCAATATCCCATACCCATTACAAATGCACCTTCAACCTGTAAAAGATTACATTATACATTATAGATATACATTTTATACTAGATCAAATATTTAGGAACTTAGTCAGTTGAAATTCATTGATATTACTTAAATTTGATGAAGCTTCAATTCAATACATAGTGTTGGCATTACTTACCTGACCAATATCAACAGCGGGATTTATACTCCGTCCCACATCTTCCAATAGGTCTACCCTTAAAACCTCGGATTCTCCTGTGAGTATATCCACTTCAACCTCGGCTAAAGCTACTCCATATACAATATATATAGGAGACAACAGACAGTTCACTAAATTTCGAGCTACCAAATCCACTTTCAAGTTATAGGCAGTTCTTATCAAGACTTCCCATGGTGGGTTGAGTAACAACAATTTAATTGGCGCCAATCTTAGTAGAAGTTCTTTACAACACGCTTCTACTCCCATACCTATACTTTGTGAAGTAATGCTAGCACCAGAGAATATGGAGTTTGGTCCTGTGATAGAATTTTGTGCTTTGACCTTGATCTTTTCCACGGGAATCTTTAAAAAGTATGCAGCAATCTGAATTGCTTTTGTGTTTATGCCTTGACCCATTTCTATGCCAGCGTGGTTTATAATTACAGAGCCGTCACCATGGCATATACTGATGCTTACTTCAAAACCAGAAGGACAGAGCGGGGTGTATTTCATAAAAGACCAGCGGAGACCGCGTTTTTTCCATCTATGTTCCGAGTTAAATTTATCTGTCGCTGCCCTTCTTGTATCGTAATCAGCCTTAGATTTTAAATCTGCTGCCATTTCCTTTACCGTGCCAGATAAGAGGTCTAAATTTCTTATTCGCACGTCATACGGATCCACTGACATTTCATACGAAATCTGCTCCAAAACGGTTTCGGCCATTGCGACATTCTCCACAGTTCCTGTACAGATAAAAATAAATTTGGTATATCATTAACTCTAAAAATAATGTGTGGGTTAGAAGGATAATTTTAAGCCTTTTCCTATCAACTGCTGTGTAAATCTTTTCTTCTTGTTCTTGTTAACTGGTTATATTAAATTAAGAATTGTTAGATGAATGAAACAACTTTTAAACGGTTTCATCGCCTTTGTATTTAGTTTTTATTGACTTTTCGAACCCTTTACAGGTTCTGTGTTCACATAAGGCTAGGGCGTTGATTGTCATTTAATTAAGAGTGAAATAAAATTATTCAAAAATAGTTTTGACTTGTTTATTTACCCTTGGCTACCGTGATCTACCACCAACTCTAAATTTGGGAGTTTCGTCCGAGAAGATACAAACTCCGACAAGAAAAGTGAATTGCTCCCCTTGATTTAATATTTACAACAAACAAACTGTTTCTTTCGGATTTGCAATGTGCAATCTGGATTGAGATTTTGTTTGACTAATTACTGGATCCCAAGCCGGTGGTATATGCCAACCTTTATCTCTATTAAAATTCGGATGTTTTTTAATTTCAATAGCCTCGCGTATCATTCTAGAGATAAAATTTGTATCTTTGTATTTATATGTACAAATACAATCTATTTGTATGTACAGCCGCAATTATTTTTGGCTTTTCAAATCGTATGTTATGCTTGGGTCTCCCTAACGCATGTTCACTACACTGCATAAGTCAAATGTATTTATTTTAATAAAGGTAAACATTGACATAAAATATTTAAAAAAAAATGTATTGTGAATGTGTCCAACAGTATTGTTTTGAAAGTAGCTATACTTTTAGAAAGACAATCGAGTCTTACGTGAACACGGAACCTGTAAAGGCCCGAAACGTCAATAAAAGTAAATACAAACGCGATGAAACCGTTTGAAAGTTCTTTCATTTATGGATAGTAGGTACTATCAAAAGCGTGAAAATATATTCAAGGAGGAAATCAATTAGAATTGTTACTTTAAGTGGCTCAAAATATAAGAAAATAATGTACTCCTCCAGAACATTTTAATACTCACCTGGAGCTCTGCAGTATGTATTCTTTGCGTTGTCTGTTGTAGAATTATAACAGACGTAATTCCACCATAACTTTTTATATACGTTGACGCAGGCATCGATACCCAAAACACTCACTAGTTCAGTAACGGCATGACCATTGTCTTCATAAAGATCTGTATGAACGTACTGTATTTCTCCTTTTTTATTAACACCCACCTAAAATTATCGCAAATTATAACGATTGATGGATTATTTTGATATAAACGTCAGAAATTAGTTTTAGTCTAAAGAGAAACTATATAAAATAAGACGTGGAATTTAGAGCACCTAGATACTACACTTTGTCTCGAACTAACGATGGACCTACCTAAAGAGCTAGACTAAACTACGTTTATAGCTCATGCGGGACGACCGCTTAACTATATGATACTAAGTAAACAGCTATCAAATCCATAATCATCATTATTTATTCCTCGTTTACTAAAGTAATGTCATAATAGTATAATGAATCCAAATATCGTCATAACATCACAAACACGTCGTATCCTTTCGGTAGGATCAAGGCTAGAGATTCTATCCACCAAAGGACATGTCAATGTAGTGATAAATCGAAAATAAAATAACATCGCTAAAATGTCGTAACCCATGGCTAAACTCATGGCTAGAGAGTTAGGTAAGTGTTCGCACCCCAGAATTATACCTAGGAAAATATAGACGCCAGAAGTATTACCCCAAGATTACATTTATAAGTTACACTGAAGTGTTAAAAAAATGCAATAAGTCATAAATATTTAAGCTACAAATGTGAATGAAAGAACCGAGCGCAGCAAGACACGACAGGATTATTTTTATATGTATATGCTTGCCAAGATTATGGCTTCTGACGTCACCATCCCCATAATACGTGATCAACTTTATCGTGAAAGCATTGTGATGGTATGTCGGCCCATTGATAGGTTATGATTCAAATAATAACCTTCAGCAGAACCAAAGAAAATCTTTTTCATAGATGTTAATATAAATAATAATCTTAACTTTACCTCAACATCAGCAGAGCATGGAAATCTCTTTCCAAGTGATCTGGTGGTGTTAGAAAGTGATGGAATAAGACGACAGGGCTTATTCAACTTATAAGCAGCAAGGCTGCAAGCGACTGCAGATAACGTAGCACGAGTTATTTTTATACCAAATGCTCCACCCAATCGTGGCGTAAATACATCCACGCTGAAACACAATATTTATTTTAAGTAATTATAGAAATTACTTTCATAGCTACGAGGGCGGGATGATAAATAGCTAGCCTAGCATAGAAAAACTTGAATTAGTGTGTTAAAAGTATATTTATTTTTCGACATAGTCTCCTTGAAGCGCTATGCACTTCATCCATATATGCTCTAAAGCCTTGATGCCATCCCTGAAGTGGTTTTCTTCAAGCCCTTTAAAAATAACTGTCCTCGGCAGACATCCACCTAAAAAATTGAGCTTAGGGAATAGATGAAAGTCAGATGTTGCTAGATCAGGAGAATAAGCTGGGTGTGGTAGCAAATCATAATTGAATTCTTTGAATTTCGCCATCGCAGTGATGCACGTATGAACGCACGCATTATCCTGATGAAAGATGATTTTTTTTAGCCAGGCCGGGTCTTTTTTCACGAATACACACTTGTAATTTATCCAGTAGATCAGCATAATATTCGCCATTTATGTTTTGGAAGGTAATCAATCATCATAATAACCTTCGAATCCCAAAATACTGACGCCATGACTTTCCACGCTGATTTCACGGCTTTTGCTTTCTTTGGAGCCGGGGATCCTTTTTCCGTCCATTGTTTAGACTGAATTTTTGATTCAGGTATATAGTGGTGAACCCAAGACTCGTCTGTAGTAACAAACCGTCGCAGAAAATCAGTTGTATTGCTCTTAAAGCGGTCCAAATATTCTTGTGAACGCTGTTTTTGGTCAACTGTAAGCAATCGCGGCACCCACCTTGCGGATAATTTTTTCATACATAATTCTTGAGTCAAAATGTAATGCGCCCGTTCTTTAGAGATGCCTACAGTATCAGCTATCTCAGAAAGTTTCAATCTTCGGTCAGCTAAAACTGCATCATGAATTTTGATCACAATTTCTGGAGTAGTGGCACATTATGGACGTCCTGGACGATGTTCATCTTGGGTGCTGGTACGGCCACGGTTAAATTCAGCTACCCAATTTTTTATGGTCGCATATGAAGGAGCATTTTCTCCCAAAACATCCTTTATCTCCGAAAAAATCTCTCCACCTTTTAATCCTTTTAAATGCAAAAACTTTATCACAGCTCGTAGCTCAATTTTATCCATTTTGCAGAAAAAACAAAAGAATGCTTTTTGAAATGTCAATATTTAAAAGAAAAACTATACGATCGATTTGAAATTTGGAACACTGGCAGCTAATGAACTAATGAGTAAAATACTAAGGAGATTTTATATCGTTATTATACAAAATATGGGTTATCCTAGCTATTTATCATCCCGCCTACGTATCTTCCGATTAATCATCAGTTCATCGCATTTCCATATTAATATTAGGAAATTTCAGTTGCATCCAAAATCAGAAAGTGTAACCGGCGTTGCAACTAAGGTGATTTAGGTAGGAAATTTGGTTTATAACACGTAGTTTCGATTGTTACCAATAACTATAATTACCTATTTACAACCGTGAAGATTATAATACTTAATGTATTGCAAATAAAACTTACCCGTCGAAAATTCGATTATAAATATTCTTTAGTCATAGATTCTTGAACGGTATTTCAAAATTATTGAATTATTTAACAAACTGAAAGTTTTGAAATTATTTATAGTGTTTTGGGAAATCTAAAATAAGACATACCTATTTTCATCTATTTTCAACGCACGGGCTACATTATATCTTACTGCATCGATCCACTGTGTGGTTGCGAATACTTCCAACCCCTGCTCCGATGGTCGTGCTACACATTTGATATTCTCCATACTAAAATGGTACTGTCCATAAATAGTATAGTTATTTTTAAAAACTTTGTCTACGAATAATCCTCTTCCTAAAGCTGGAAGCGGCAAAAACATCTTAGTTCTTGATGTGTCTTTTCTTACATCTTTTATATCAATTACTGGTTTCGAAACATCGCCATATTGAACTTTAACCATTTTTGCGGCTCTTTCGGCTATAGCTGTTGATTCTGCTACGACTATTCCTATTGGCTGATTATAGTATTTAATTTTTTCACTGCAAAATATTTCTTCATCGCCTATAAATGCAATTACGCCCTTCTCTATAAACGAATTTTTCCCGGGAATGTCCTTGGCTGAATAAAATGCTATTACACCAGGAACTTTCTGTAAGTAAAAGTTTTATTTTATGTGGTTGTAAAAGCATTACAACATTGTATATGATAAAGCATTCAAAAGTACAATCACTGTTTTACCACTCCTATTTTATATTTATTATATATATTTTTAAAGTTTCCAGTAACATAAATTTAGGCAATTCAAATTCTGCATTTTGCTAATTATGTCACAGTTTACTTAAGATAAAAAAGAAAAAGCTACAAATTAGTACCAATGCATCACTGGCTTCTATAGATTTTATAGTCCCTTGGGCAACAGTACTCAATACTAAGGCACCAAACACCTCCCCAGGCATGGATAGCATATCATCTGTATATATAGCTTCTCCCGAAGTTTGACACTATAACAAAATAATATATATTAAAAAAACACATAAGAAAAAAGATAAATTATTTGAGACGTAGAGAATCATCCGAGATTAAATATATAACTTACCAAAGCTTCTACTTTCTGTATTGGTTTATTTAATGGGAAAACTTTTTCATCGATGCTATAGTCTTGACTTGCAGTCGACACGGGCCTCGAATCATGAAGATCTATAACTCCAGAGCGATATTGTACTTTCAGCTTTTCTGATGGACATAGCGTCAAAAGCCCCTGGAATAAAATCCATACTTATATTGATAAAAGAAATAAAAGAACTTGTTTATTTGTATCTATTTCCTCTTTTATGCAACGGAAAGTCGTAATGGTTTAATTTTTGTAATGAGGTAGTTGCAAAATTGGAAATTTTACCGTATAAAAACTCTTATTTATGTCACTTTACGTTTTAGTACGTAAATTCATAAAAATAACTATCACCAATCCTTTTTAATTTAAATTTAATTAAAATATTTAATAAATTATATTAAGCTATAACCATGGATATAACACTTCATAGTCTTTGAATCAGCTTTGCAACATTAATCAGAATTCATTGGCAAAATCTTTTGCTTCGGGATCTTAACCACAAAAGCCTTATTTGCAGAAAAAATCAAATTACTAAAAATTTCTCTATTCATATTATTTATATCTACATGCGGTATTCTTTGCGGAAAGTTAATGTATAGTATTGAAGATTATATACTACCTTATAAAATAAAGCCAACGCTAATTGTTTCCTATAATTAGCAGAAGGAGCTGGTGGATTTTCCGTTGCGACTAGTTCTTGATCCAATATTTTCAAAGCACCCTGCAAGGTATCATTCTCAAAAAGCGGTTTTCCTTTCAGATAATTCTCTGTCTTTGTTGCTCTTGAATATGGTGGAGTCAATCCACTAAATACTACGCGAATTTCTTTGACTGTATTATCCGTTGTTTGAACTTGGCATAGAAGGCCAGCATTCACTATTGCATGTGCACTTTGGGCACGAGGCATGATCTATAAAGAGATAACGGAGGTTATTTTTTTATTAATTTATAACGAAATTCAATTCAATCAAATTCACTCAAACAGTTAAATATTGATAAAGTATTAAGAACTTGCTTACTTTGAATGTTACCAAATTGAATTCATTATCATTTAACGGCGGCAGTAATATATTATAAATTAGTTTTCCCTTCATGTCAGTACTGATGAATTCTTCCATAGATATGACTTTTTTAGAACCTGGCGCATCAACTGTAAATATTTTATAAATTAACACTTGTTCTTCAGTATAAATTTTTATAAGTTTTTCTAATCCTTCAATAACAATATTTTAATATCCAAAATTCTAAAATATGAAACAGCTATCAAAGAAATTTTGTTTTCAAAAAGTCATGGGAAAAAAACAATATACTTACGTATTGTTAGATATGCACCAACCGTTTCTAACATCAGAAATACATCAGAAGGGAAATCTTTATTGTGATGTTTTAACATTAAATTACCAGCAATCGTTCCCACCTGTAAAATATTCAATTCCTTTTAAAAATGAACTTGATTTACCAAAGAAACAAAAGTTATCTTAAACACTTACATTTCTTACGAGGATATGTGCTATTTTATCAATGTGTTCTTTAAGCTTTTTTAGATAAGCAAAATTATCTTTTTTTGAATTATTTTCGAATATATCAATGACTTCTGTGAGAGTTGTACAAGCTCCAATCATTAAATTTTGATCAAATTCGTGTCCTTTTAATTCAGAAATGCTTGTAATATCAATCAATACGGGTGGATATTCATCAATAGGAACGGCACCTAGAATACGATAAATGGTTAAATTTGAGCATATGAATCAATATTTTATATTCATTGTCTGATTTACCTATTGAGGTATGTCCCGCAACCAACATATAATCAGCGTTGCCTTCAGTTTTCCAAATATCAAATATATCAGAAGTCTTCGTTACTCTGAACCATTTCTTGCCATCTTTTAAAGTTATTTTGATAACGTTATTTTGATTCAGATTATCTGACACAAAACACCAATCGTCGGCGTCACAGGAATTATTACAAATTTTATTTGTCTTCTCACAAATTTTCAAGTCTTCGATGTCAGCAATTAAGGAATTCGGAGCATCCTTAGCAAACTTTTTAAATGCTTGCAGAATTGGTCTATAGCCAGTACATCTACAGATATTGCTACCGAATGACTTTTCTATTTCTAACATAGTCAATTCTTTTCCACTTTTTAATAAGCTAAAAATAATATGTATTTTATTTAGATAACGTGATGTTAAAGTTTTATATTTAAAGTTTACAGGGCTGGATCATCCTTTAAGCCAAGCTAGGCAACTGCCTACAGCACTCGTATTTGGGGAGCGACATGGTATAGCAAAAGATAATGTTTGCTCTAACCTTATAAAAAAAAATACTTTTGTCATATTGACTATTCAAAATGTTCTGCATTATTCAAAAGTACAACATTTTCAGACCAGCAGTATCTAAGGAGTTTCTGTCATTGATAACATTAACTCTTTAATGGGTGCTCCTTTATTTTGTTGTGATTTTTATAGGCGCCGTTCCAGTGTATGGATCATAGCGCCAAGATCCCGTTTTTTACTAATGTAAGACGCTAAACTTCCTTGACCGGCGTTGCAGAATTATTATTATTATTTGAATCTTTTTTTTTAAACACGTTCTTGTGTTTATATCCTAAAACTATTACATAAGTTCCTAGAATTACTGTGTAAGCTTTTGCTTCAAAAAACAATAGTATTATATTTTCTCCTTTTTTTCATTTTTATTTTATTCATTATTTATTACTTACCTATTCATTGCCATGACCCAACCGGGCGAACAGAATCCACATTGACTGCCATTTTCTTCTGCCAAGGTCTTTTGTATGACGTTGTAACCGTCTCCTCTATTACCTACCTTTTCAATAGTCGTTATATCCCAATCATGACATGACATTACTGGTGTGATACACTGTCGAATAAATTTTAAAAAATTAAAAATTAATTTACGATTTCTGCTGCACGGACCGTTGCGGAGTGGGCGTCACCAAGGCACGGGATGCGCGTGCGGGAGGAGAGTTAGGCTCAAAGAATAAGGTACCAGCGGTCGTTAAATATAAATATCATCTCATCAAAAAACATAAATTGTACAAAAATGCACAAATCCTGCATCGTAATTTTTCTGCCGTTAAAAGTTATAAAATCAACGTAGATCAAGTCGATCCAATCTTGTCGTCAATTCAAATCTAATCAAATTCAAATCAAAAGTTTACTATCTCGAGCTCTGTGTCTCGAGATCTGTGCTTCAGAAGGCACGTTAAGCCGTCGTTCCTGATTGCATCTGTAGTCTATAACACTCACAAACGCACTGGACCTGCATAGTCAGGTTATTGAACATTCTCCTTTTATTTCATCCATAGGGAAGGCCTGTGTCCCAGCAGAGGGGAAATTGAAAAATTGATGATGATAGTTACCGAATTGACACCTTTTGGGGTTGCCCCAGGGCTAGTGGCAGCGGTAACAGTGCAAGCACCACAGCCAGCTTCTCGACACATGAATTTGGTACCGAATATACCCAAATGTTTCCGCAAATAATCCACTAACATTACATCCGAGCTCATCTCGCTGCCCACTAATAAAGATAATGTTTTTGATTGAATTAATATGACAGCTGTGATAATATTAAATTAATGGCATTGACTGTACTTTTGGTTAAATAAAGTAAAGAGAATTCATTCAATCAGAGCACTGGAAAAAATATTCCCGCTCTTCCTACCAAACGCATTGAGCATTGGGAAAAAATTTAACTGCTCCTACCGACCTAAGTACCGATCGGAGGACTAGGAATAACCTATTAGTAACTACAGCAAAACAATAATTTTATCTTTTATAATATTGTAAAGGGGTAAAGTTTCTAACGTAGTTTATAGATGATAATCTTCGAAAATACGGATCCAATCATGAAAATCCTTTCACCTACAAGAAACTGAAGAAAAACATTACTCTACAACATGGTCGAATAAAATCCATGACGGAGATAACATAGGCTATATTTCCGCGGGCGAGAACAGCTAAGTACAGTGAGTGGTAGATACTCATACTTATAGGGTTCAAAACTTATAATTTTCAATGTTATAATCATCTTTAAATATTTACACAATCATTAAGGAAGTAGTTAAAGATAGATATAACGTGATAAGGAGAAGATACACCAAGACCATACAATATCTTTCTAGTCCCTCAACGTGGTTAGAGTTAGGAAATAAAGAGTTAGAAACTTGGTTTTACATAAGATCTGATAACTTTTTGATAGTGCGAGCCATATAGTTTCGTTTAGGCAACATTTTAAATGAAAATATTTTCTAGGATAGCGATAGATATACAATATATTAAAAATAATATTGTTTTGCCCACCACGCTATATATCATGCGCTTACGTCTTCAGACAAATAATGTATGAATCGTGTTTCAAACACGTTTCGAAGTTATTATAAATATGTGACACTTGTGCAATTAAAACAGCTTATTATGTAATATCTTTATTATTATTTTAAATAACACATTCATATTCCTATTATGTTTGCGTGAAACATACAGCTGAATAATATTAACCATTGATATTGCGTCAATACTTTGTGTTGTTTGTGATATTTTAGGAGGCCAAAAATTTGAATGTTATCAATTTTTGGTACATGCAAACAAATATATATCGCACCTATGCTGTAAAATTTTATTAACTGTCATTGTTTATAAAAAAAAAATAACAAAATGGGTTGTACCAGTAGATGCAGCTTAAAAATTTCTATAGATATTCTCATATTTATTGTATTTGATAAATTTTACATTCACAATTCTATAATGATAAATATTTTAAAAGAAAAACTTCTCTAACCAAGTCCCATGCACTCTGAGATGGGACTCGAACCTTTCGCAATCCAGGTGACTACTCTAACCACTGAGCTACCCAGGACCTAACACGAATTTTTCAAACACTTGTTAATTTTTCACTACTAGTGAGCGTATTTGCATTCAATGATCAGGCAATCCAACTGAACAGCCGAAAGAAATATTTTTACATAAATTTTAAAGTTTCGATTAAGATGATTTTCTTTTCAATTATTATATTTGATCAATTTGTTTGGGGTGTGGTGGATTTTTTAAACTTTTTTTATTAAAAATAACTCATGTTTCTAAAATTTATCTATTAACATCTTTTAATAGTAATACTCTTGTCGATAGAGTAATAATATTCATTGTTCCCTATCCTCAATAATCGACTTGACTACTCCAGTCTTTGCCACAAGAGTTGTGTATCGTTTTTTGCGATAAAACCGCCTTTGCCCACCTTAGAGTTGAGGCAAGGTTTCGATTTACGAAATTAGCATTTTTAAACCAATTTTATTCTAAGGCTATGCTAATATTCGACAAATAAAAGTAATTTTATGAAAATTTAACATATGGTCGATTGTTTGCCAAAAAAAACAAAAACATAAATTTAACCCAAGTAGCACATAAATAATATATTAACTAAAATAAGTACCGATTTATGCCCTAAAGTCATACTAACATTTTTAATCAGCACTGGTCAAGTTTCGAATCTGTTTAAAGGCATTTATTTTATCTAATAATGCTTAATGCCATATTATGGTTAATAAAAAAAGTATACCAATGTCAAAACTCCTATTTAAGTATTGGGTAATATTAATATAAAGCTGTTATCGTATTTCGGTGATATGAAAAACATTATATATTATATAAGCATTAACGTAATATTATTTAGTGCACTTAGTTGTATTTAGTCATTTTCTAGAAACAAAGGTTTTCTAATGGCCTATGGTTGTATCGATTTAATGCTTATCCTATATACACATTGAATAAAGAACTAGTAAAACTTTAGCACCGATTTGTTCTTAAAGTATTCTTTAATCAAGCTCAAGCTCCTTTATCTTCTTAATCTATGCTTTTATAAAACATTAGGCTATATTTTGATCAATATTAAGTTATTTATAGAGATACAAGTAATAAATAGATCGTAATTATTTTTTATGTGAAATTAAAATGTAAAATTATTTTATGTATTGTATTGTAATGGTGGCATTTTATACGCATCGATGGCGCCATGGACAAAAAACGTTGGGAAAAACAAAGAAAACAGGTGGATATAAAAGAAAACTGAAAAAAGAGTATACTAATTTAATTGAAACTTTTAAAAATCAAAATAAAAATGAAATAATCGTTTGATGATTATAAGCACTATAAGATACTTCTGAAGTGTTAAAATACGGCTGTACCTAAAATGGGAGTGTGTTATACGATGAATTACGAGCTCTTAGTTTTGTGTCTAACCATAATACGATTAACAGCTCTACTACACTATATTTGAATACCTAATGCTTTAATTTTACGAGTCGCCATTTGCTTTCTTTTTCCAATTCTTACAAAATATTTAAAGTCAACTGTGTCAGATGAAAAGGGGTAAATAATCATTTATTTTGTGCACAGATGCCTATAAAAGCAATTATGTTGTTAAAACAATGCTAAAAAGCCTAAAATTCAACAAAAAATTTTGCTACTAGGTTAAATTTTCTATTATTTTTATTATATTAAAGGAAGTTTGCGAAGGCGCGTGTATTTTACACCATAAACTTGTATATTTTACTCCACAAACTGATGTTTGCAGCTTATTTCACACATAACGAGCTGTTTAAATCAATATTAAAAAATACTTAAAAGACCAGCCAAGAGAACATGTCATGACACTTACACAAAACAATAACTTAAACCGATTATATATTTTTAAAATCTATTAAATATACTTTATTTACAAAGGAAATAAAACAGTAAGCATTTTTATAATATTAAATTAACGTATTATAATTTTGATTTACGCATATCAATTGTAATATAGTCAAAAAAGTTCAATTAGCACTTTAAGGTGCTAATTGAACTTTTTGTGGCTATTAGAATGCTTTTACCCGACTTTATTAATGCTATTATAAAAAAGTTGTAGTGATATTGCACAGCTTTTATAAAGCTTAAAGTCGTACAAAGGGGTGCCCAAATTTTACGTATAAGAGTCGTTTAAAAGAAATACGGTTGATATACGATTTTATTATAATGCTTAACGCTTGGACTCGTGCTATCATAAGTTTGATATAATGGTGTTTTGTGCTACTTGGGAAATAATTGCCTGGCTCTCAATAGGTTTTTGG